CTAACAAATACTTTCTTTTTTTTTTTATTTATTTATTCTTCAATTGATCATTACATAATTTATTATTATAATATTTTATTTTTTATTTTAATAGATATATTTATATTTATTTTTTTAAGAATATACTAACGTAAAAGACTATAAGTAAATCTTTTTAAAAATAAAAAAATTTTAAAAAATGAATTAGTATTCTAAAAAATACTTAAACATTCAAACTTTCAATAATAATTCTCACCCCTCTTATTGAATTTCCCGACTTCGTCATTGATATTATGCACATACGTACTTATTTTTATGAAGTTTTAATTGTTACTGTACTCCTTTATAAGCTAAAAAAAAAAAAAAACTTTTTTTAAAAATATGTGCAAGGTCAAGAGTATTTTGTGAAAACTGAACCCGCGGATTATTGGGAAAGGCAAGCTGGAAGATGTACAGAAATTCAACCTTCACAGATAGGGTAGGATTTGTTAGTGATTAGGTTGGACTTTCTTTTGCCCTTCTAATAAGGCAAAAAGAGGAGGACAACTCAACAAGATAAAGTCATAAAATTGAAAAATTTTTCCCCAATAAGGTTATAAATGCCCTTTAATTTTAAGAAAACTGCAACTTTCTGCAAGTGCAATTTAGAAAGACTCCAATTTGATGCTTATTGCTGAGCAAACAAGAATATAATCTAGTAATGGAGTTTCTTTACCGGGTTCTTCTTCTTCTTCTTCTTCTTCTTCTCTGCGTGCTTGCATTCATGAGTTTTGACATTGCTGAATCTGCTAACTGCTACAATACAGGGAACTTCACCGTAAACGGTACGTATGGCATGAACCGCGACCTCGCTCTCTCTTCTTTAGCCTCTAATACCTCAGAGAATGGTGGTTTCTACAATACCACTGTTGGTGAAGATCCCAATAAGGTATATGCTCTAGCGCGTTGCAGGGGAGACCAATCTGCAAAGGATTGTTCCAGTTGTATCAATTCAACAATCCCAGATTTCATCACCAACTGTCCAAACCAAAAAGAAGCAGTTTCAATGGGAGACTGTACGATACACTACGCAAACCGCTGCTTCTTCGGAAATCTTGAGTTATCTCCGATATATCAAATCACTAATACAGATGACCTCACCGTAAATTTGACACAGTTTGATCAGATTTGGGAGAGTTTAATGGATGGTTTAGTGAGAAATGCTTCTGCTGTAACTTCTGGGCTTAAGTTTGCCACAGGAGAAACAAAGTTAACAAAATTTCAAACAATTTTTGCCCTTATGCAATGCACTTCCGATTTATCAAAAGGGGATTGTGATTTCTGCCTTAGGCAATCCGTGAGTGATTATGAAAGCAGGTTCCATGGAAAGAAAGGGGGTTTTGTTCACAAACCGAGCTGTTTTTTCCGGTGGGAATTGTATCCCTTCTATACCCGTCTTCCACCTCCACCTAGCAGTCCCTCGTTGCTTTCTAGTAGTCCGTTTTCAAATTCAAAAAGTAACACAACCGCAAAAGGTAAGTACATCTTTCCTTGGAGAAATGGATTTTATTCAGATTGGGTAGAAACAAAATTTGATTGTACTTGGTTTATGTATAACATCAAAAGTATGCATAGAAATTTGATCAATTTGATTAGAGATTTATTCTAAAGCATGTTAAGTAACTACAAACATTTTTCTGATTTGCAGACAGCAGGCATATTGCTACACAAACTGTTACAATTGTTGTTGTTTCAACCACTGGTTTTATGGCAATTGTTGCCATCGCTTGTTCTCTTCTCCGAAAGAGATGGAAGTCAAAGCATGCAGTTAAGGGTGAGTGTTGTTCCATAGGAACAAGAAGAAAACAAATTGTGATTAATTAGGTTGTAGTTGTAGGCTTGGTAAAACAAAATGATAGTTAATGATTGATGAATAAAGTCAGGGCCTCATGGAAATTGTTGAGGTGTTAACTCGCTTTTTTTCCCTATGAAGGTATGGATGAAAGTATTAGTGCTGAGTCCATGCGATTTGACTTTGCTACAATAAGGGTTGCCACTGATAACTTTTCCAACGAGAACAAGCTAGGAGAAGGTGGATTTGGTGTTGTTTATAAGGTAACTCCACCTATTATATTATATGTTTACGTACTCTTCCTTTATGTTTATAAATAGCTTATAACCCAAGACAGTTTTTCTTTTGTTAATACCCTACGGTTGAAAAGCCTTCATCCTGTCACAGTGTCTTTAGCCTAGTTTTTCTAATTCTTTGAGGAAATAAAGAATTCCATTTGATATTTTCAATCTTCTTATTAACCTTAAATATTGATTTAACTTTTAGGGAAAGCTTCAGGATGGGCGAGATATAGCTGTAAAGAGACTTTCTAAAAATTCTGAACAAGGAGAGATTGAATTTAAGAATGAAGTCTTATTAATGGCAAGACTTCAACACAGGAATTTGGTTAAACTCCTAGGTTTTTGCTTGGAATGGAACGAAAGGCTTCTCATCTATGAGTTTGTTCCCAACTCAAGCCTTGATCACTTTATATTCCGTGCGTCCTCTTTTCTTTTCACCTTAAGAATTAATTCTTGTTCGTTTTATTTGTGATGCATGACCTGAACTTGTTTGAAATTATTTTTGTTAGAGGCACTCTGTGTTAGTATTGCACCTCCTTTGCAACGGCAAAATAGTATTTCCCTTTTTGATGTATTTAAACCCATTAATTTTGTAATTTTGTGAATTTACAGATCCAGTCAAACGTTTACTACTAGATTGGAACAAAAGATACAAAGTCATAGAGGGAATAGCTAAAGGGATTCTGTACCTCCATGAAGATTCTCAATATCGAATCATCCATCGTGATTTAAAAGCTGCCAATGTTCTGTTAGATGCAAAAATGAATCCAAAAATTTCAGATTTTGGCATGGCAAGGTTATTTGTAGGGGATCAAACACAAGCTAATTCAAGTAAAATTGTTGGAACGTTGTAAGTATAAGAATCACATTGTAGTTACCATTTTTGTGTAGTCTAAATACATGAATCCTCACTTCAACTATTGTATCTAGTGGATATATGGCTCCAGAGTACGTGATGAATGGGAATTTTTCAATTAAGTCTGATGTTTATAGCTTCGGTGTGCTAGTTCTTGAGATCATCAGCGGTCAAAAAGTCTATCTCAGTAATGGAGAAGAAGGGGAGAATCTTCTAACTAACGTAAGTGATACTTAACCTTAGCTTTCATTTTGTAGGGTTTTAAGAGTCAAATAATCATACCAAGAATTGAGAGACTGTATTTTAAGGCTAACATATTTAGAGATTTTCAATCTATGTAGGCATGGGAAAATTGGATGGAAGGGACTGCTCTGAATTTTATAGATCCCATTTTGAGGGATGGTTCAAGGAGGGAAATGTTGAGATGCTTGCAGTTAGGCTTACTATGTGTTCAAGAAAATGTTGCTAGAAGGCCAACCATGGCCTCTGTTGTTCTCATGCTTGGTAGCAACTCTGTATCTCTTCAAGTGCCCTCAAAACCAGCATTTCTTATGCACTCTATCATTAAGCCAGAGTCCTCATCATTTGCATCTGCATCTGCTCAATCCAGACGAAGATCTATTGATTTCTCAGTAAATGAAGATACAACATCTGATTTTGATCCTCGATAGAGTTTGTGAATTAAGTTGTAAATTTATAGTGCTTTTGTGAATAATCAGCACTATGTTGACTTTGTATTACTATATAAACTTGGTTTGTTTGTTTTGCAGAATTCTTCTTTGAGTAGGTAGGTTCGTTATCACTTAATCTTAGGTTAGTTTAATTCAAGTGATTCAAGTCTAGAGTTAGCATTCGAAGCAGACATGTTATTCAACAAAACTGGAGACTGTATTATATAAGGATGCTGATTGGTGCACACCTGGTGTTGACCCGGGTGTGCACCCCCACATAGAAAAAAAAAAAAGGGACCGGGTGGGGTTGGGTTTTTTTTTTTTTCAATGGGGGAGTGTGCACACCCGGGTGTTGACCCGGGTGTGCACATATCTTTATCCATTATATAATCCTAGGATCACTTTGTTTTGGTAACGTGCTTCATTCACTGATGAAGGGATTAGTCTGATAGACTCCAGCTCTATTTCTTTGTACACCAATCCAAAGGATAATAAAGAGAGTATGATAAGAAGAGTAGTGCCTCTTTCTTTTATTCCTCATCTCTTTAAAACAACTCTACCCCTATCTCTCTCTAAAATAAGTTGGATTGGATGGCAATATGGTAAAATTTAGAGAAGTAAATAGCAAAAACAGTTTCCTCTCACATTTGCCACACCTTTGTGAGAGGGTGACATTTTTGTTATTTTTGGCAATGTTTGGGCCTTTTGTCTCTCATTTGCCACAGTTACGGCGCTTTGTGAGAGGGAGGCATTATTGTGAATTTTGGCAACTTTTGAGCTCTTATTAGTGGATATTTATAATTGAAATATATGTTTTGCACTTCAATTTTATCTTTCAAACCATTTTTACACCTAAAGTATATAAGGTCATTTTTTCCCATTTTCTTCTTTCATTATGTTTTTGTTTCTTTTTTTCTTTTTTTTTTAGGTTTCCTCACTTGTACGTTATGATTTAAGTATTACTGTTTTTTTATTTTAATAATATCAATTGAACACTTTAACTAGAGAAAGAGATAGTTAAAAATAGAATAAACTTTAATTAGTAAATATATATATATAGTATTACATTAAGGGCCTGTTTGGTATAGCGGTTAAAATTCAGCGGATAGCGGATAACGGGTAGCGGTAACGGATAGTGGGTAGCAGATAGTGGATAGCGGTAGCGGGTAGCGGATAGCGGTAGCGGGTAGCGGATAGCGGATAGCGGATAGCGGAAAGTGAGTAGCAGATGGTAAATAGCGAATTCAATAAATATAACTGTTTGGCTAAACAATAGTTAACGGTTGTTGTTTAACATTAAATAACTAATAAGGACATGTTTAAAAATAAATATGTGTATTTTTTAAATATTTTTATTTATTATTATTAAAATTATTAATTTTATAAAAATAATAA